GCCATGTTGGCCTCTTGCTGCTGCTGAAACATACCACGCTCATTACAACTGCAGGGCCTTTTCACTAGCTGTTTCCTCTGCCTACAACACAACTCAGATCATCACACAGCTCACTATCTCACTTCACTCAGCAATCCACTCAATTTATCACTCTTCAGACACATCTTTCCTGGACATTCTAAAATTAGGTCCTCCTGCCCCTTCTCATTCTTGATCTTCTTATCCTGCTTTAATTTTCTTCAAATCACTCACTACTCCCTGGCACTATGGTATATAATTATGTTTATTTGTTCATTATCTATATCCCTTAGTAGATGTTAGTTTCATGGAGGCAGATATTTGTCTTATGTCCTATAATTCTCCAGCACCGAGGGGGGAAAAAAAAGCCTGACACTTGGATGTTGTATGAATGACGACATGCTTTTCACATAGAGCCCTCCAAGAGCAGTTTTTTCTGTTTTTTTGTGTTTTTCACTGCTTCTCCTTTACTCATTCAAGTTTTTCCATTCCTCAGTATTGGAACCTATTTATCTTTCACCAGAATGTACGCCTTCTTCTCCTACGCAAACAGCCCCTGAAAGTTACCTTTAATAAACATTTCCTACCTCATCTAAACATAGAATTCTCTCACTCCTACAAAATAGTCCACTCATTTTCTTATGTGTAGTTAAAACCCATAGCCAAATTATTTGGTGTGTAGCCTCTATATGGCTTTGTCTGTTTTAAATTGTGTCTAAAAGGTAGGGACTCACGCATCCTTATACTGATAAGGAGTATGCTGCCCATTGCTAAGTTTCCAGAATATTTTTAATGACTATCATGTCAGATTTTAACAAGTAGATAGTCGGAGGTTATTAGTTGCAGGAGCTTAAGTTTTGAAGTCCAACATATGTAGGTCTGATCCCAGCTGTCACATAATCCTACCTGGGTGACCTTGGGAAGTTACTGAACCTCTCTGAAAATAAACATATGTCAAATTCTCAGCACTACATCCAACACAGTAAGTTCTCAACAAATTGCACCTACTATTATTTAACTGGGCTTCTTTCTTATGTGTCTAGTAGGATAATACAGAAGATTCATTTACTTAGAGATGACTTTGGTGTAGGCCTCCCTCCAAATAGTTCTCTGTTGTTAAACAGAAGAATTTGAATGCTCTCTTTTGTGGAGATGGTATCTGTGTAAGGAAGCAGCATATCCACTTAACCCACACTTTTACCACTAAGGGGAAGTTTGGGGTCCCTGCTTCTTAGGGAAAGCAGAAGATCATTTTCTTACGAGTTCCCTCTGGTATTAACCTCTCTCTGGTATCTAGTTTTCTTATTTGTGGGGAATAAATCAGTTTTTCTTCTGGCTATTTTCTTTAATCAAACTTAGTCTCTAACTACATTTTTTTTTTACTTTGTTAAAGTTCAATATTCACCCATGTTCATTGAAAAAGCATTTCTTAAAGGAATGCTTAGTACAGTACTAGCAGTTATATAAATTGAGCTCAACAAAAGATATAATCACTGTCCATGTTTAGTATGCAGTTTACAAAGTGTACAGATTTCAAGAATTTCCCCATAATCATAATTAAGGAGAGAGGGAAGGTAAGATGGTAAATCCTTTTACATTTAGCATCCTCTATTCCCTATGACTTTTTTTACTTGAAATTTAATTAACCAGTGCCCAATGTGATGCATTGTATACTGAGGTAGAACATGAAGCCTAATGGGATAGGAGTCAACAGACCCAGCATCAAGTTATTGCATTAATTAACTTGTTGATTTTCCATTAATAACTCTCAGGTCTTGATCACCTCACTTTACAACCTTACGTCTCTATCCTGTGTACAATTATGAGGTTTTACTAGATGATCTCTAAGGCCCATCTGGTTGAAAGAACTCTATATTCTGTAATTTCAAATTTCTTCTCTAGAGAAAATAACTCATTACACTGGTTGGTTCCCACATATTTTAAAGTTCACTATTTGTAATTTTGAGTATATAAGTCAATTTCACACTACTCATATTTCACAGTTCAAAACTGTCAGACAAAATGTCTTCCCTGAAAAAGTGTTATCTGAAATCAATGTATATAACCTTAAAAAAGTAAACTGAAGGCCGTGGCACAATCACAAAATGTGTCATGTTTACAGAGTATGGGTTTCTTATATATAAATGGTCATTACCTGGAAAGGTATTCATTTCTGAAGTAAAAATATTCCAGCCTGAATCTCTTCAAAATCTCTATCAATTTATCAATAGATTCTTTATGGTTTCCCAAGCTGCTCAGCATTAATATACAAAGATTTAGCTTCTCTTTCATGATATATTTGAATTCCTACAAGGCAAGTCACAAAACAAACTCCACTATTCCAGTGTTAAACACAAACATAGGACAGAGGCAACATAAAATGCTGTGGCCATTTCTCTCTCAGTAATATTAGCTGTTACTGGATCCTAAAATTCTAATTAAATAAATACCAATTCTCAATTATCCAAAGACTGAGTGTCCTTTGGTTTGATTATCTGAATTTAACAAATATATACTGGGTAACTATCACGTGCCTAAAATTGAGTTTTATTTCCTTTTTCTTGAGATAGTGGGTCCTTAACCATTTCATCAATCACCACAATTGCTTTAGAATAGGATAGGACAAGGAAATGCAAAAAAAAAAATCAGTAGTTATTGATTAGTATATTCAAAAGTAATTTTTAAAAAAGTTTAGTTTGGCAAAGGGGTTGAAATAAATATTCCATGGTTTTCAGAGTTTACTTCTTGCTTTAGTTTAACTTAGGGGGCTGATAAATGTTAGGAAGTCATCTGGCAGTGAAGAAGTAGAGATAATAAATTATGGATAAATTAAAGATATTTATTTTTATATACTTTCTTTCTAACAAACCTGGGAATAGCTACCTAAGAAGTACCTATTTTTCCAATGTTCTGCTAATTTCTGGGATAAGGAAACTGTTAGAGTCTCAGGAATAAGAGTCTTTTGCACAATAATTATTCTATTAAAATTAGAGAATTTTAATAGGTCAAGGAAAAATCCAAGCTTAGACTAGCCAGATCTTACAAGGGTTCAAATAAAATACATTTTTTCATTAAGTCATCTTATTCTTTGCTTCTCCAGCACATATCACATGTCCTCACACTCACTCACTCTTAGTTTTTTTTCTTACCCTCACACTCACACACACTTAAACTAACACTCACTTTCACCCACATATGCACGTTCATACACAACCCCAGTTAGGGCAAGCAGAAGACTACAATAACGTCTTAGAAAACGTACTGTATATAATAAGCATTACCTGAGTTTCAAAAATAGGAAGGAAAACCAAAAATACAGAATACTCACAGTAAGCTTGTTCTCCCACTTTTCTTTCACAGTAATTTCTGGATTAGTTACCCAGCACAGAGAGCTATCAATGAGGGTTTCAACTTTGGGAACTTCTTCATGCTGAAAAAGATTTCTACATCATCTACGAGGAATGCAGGTGAAAGACATATGCTACAATTTAAGAAGTTAGATCAAAGTTCTACTACGTTGGTCATTCAGGAAGACACCAGAGAGTTCCTTCTCATTTAATGTCACCCAGTGACTTTCCTTTCTGCCAGGACATTGCGTGTGTAGATGCTAACTCACATCAGGTACTCTATACATGCTGAATAGGCACAAAGAATCATTTTCCGGAACAAAACTTACCCATTTTTGTTCTCCTCTCAAATAGAAGAAAACATGCATGTCTGAGGATTTTTTTTATTCATCAAACCAAATACTACCTACTATATATGCTAGGCACTGTGAAAGGGACTAGAAATACTAATATGAAGATGTTTTCTGCTTTATCTGACCATCTAGATTTTCCAGTCAAAAATAAAAATGGAGAAAGAGGTACTAGCCATTAGCTAGAAAGAAACTATTCAAGAGATACCACATTTTCAGCCCTTTGACACTGAAGATTAACCTGTAGGAAAACTAAGTTCAAGCAATCCATACCTCAGGGTCAACCTGTTAGTTCTAAATGACCCAGAACTAGAAGGTCAACTTCAGGGAGGTTTGAGAAAAATCTCCTCTTTTCATAGAATTGATTTGAGTCTTAACGACACACAGATATGCTTGTGCTCAGCAAACAGGCAGTAGGTCACTTATCTGCAGATGTTTCTAGCCAGTGAAACACCACAATAGGTGTGTGTTGTACAATACCAGCTTCTGAAGCATAGCTGTGAATTGCACTTCCTTTTGTTCAAGTTCTCGCAGTAATAGCACCATTTCTTGGTCCATCATCGTGTCCAGAGATGACAAGCTGATTAAACTGCACTGCCACTCAGTTTCATTGTTCTGAAACAATTACCAAAATGTCCATAACTCTGTCATTCTAATAAAAAGCATTCATTATTTTTATTTTATGAAAATGATGCCCATGTGTCAATGGAATTGTCCCCATCAACCAGTTGTAAACAGTCTTATGAAATCCTACTACATCCCCCCAAAATCTGTTTACATTTTCTCTCTAGGATGGCTTCAGCTTAACGTTGATTCATGCTTAAGAAGAACCCATTCATCCTACAGATAACATTTACATGTGGGTGATATAAACTGCTATGGCTCTAATTCTATGAAAATAAAGGAAGGTTAAGAAATTCACAGAAAAAAAAATAAACGATGGGGAGTGGGGTGTTCAATAAATCCAACTGGAGACAGACTGGTTTCTTTTCTCCTCCATTCACAGAAGATACTGTCAGATCATGTTTCACGAAGCACATTTCTTATACTTCTCTCAAAGTCTCTGTCTCGTGTCATATTTTAGATATATGACAACAACACATTTAACTTTCTTTTTGCTGTCTGCTGACAAAGGTCAGAAGGCTCTAATTCCCAGATTCCAATTAGAAGGCAAACTTCCTCATCATTGGAGTAAACCTCAGAGCCAGAACTTTGTCAGCTGTTTAACCCCCCATTTAGAGTTATAGAACTTTACAGCCTGGCATCTCGACATCATCATTATCTTAGAGGACTGTGGATAAAAACACACTGCCGAGGCAAATTTGCCACCACTTCATTCAGTCTGGCAGTTTGGCTTGGTGTCAAAATACAGTCAAATGATGAGTATCTGAAACAGAACGTCAGGAAAGCACAGTGCTCAGCAGAACCTCCAAGGCTGCCTGAGATGGTGTCAGATGAAGGCAGCATATGCTGCTCCTGCACCCTGGGCAGGAGAAATTCAAACAGCATTTGCCCCAAAGACATTCTTCCTCTCCTTTCAAGGTCATATCACAGCTGTCAACAGGAAGACTTTCTGACATATCCATTGTCCACAGACATGGAGAGACCATCAAAGTAGTGAAAAGAAAGCAATTTTCTAATAAAGCGTTCCCTAACATAACAAGCACCAAACTGGAAAGTATAAAAGAGTGAAAATATAGTATCGGGGGTTCCAACATTTCATCTCCAAGAAGGCTTTTGATTGTTTCTCCCTGTTATAAAGATTTGGGTCTACCCAACAAACTGAGACTTTTTAAAGTAATAATTCATTTTGCCATTTTAAAATTAACCAAAAAACACTTAAAAGTGCTAATTTCTGTTCAGAATGTAATAATCCCTGTCATTAAATTGGATTGGTACCTTCTAAAGCAAAGAAATTTCATGTTGTTTCTGAGTATCTCTATTTTTGTCAGATATATTTCCTTTGGGGGATTGGGGAAATACTGAAAAAAATAGTTCAATGGTCTCTACTGCTATCTTTAGGACCCCAGGCTGGGGAACATGTAGGTAGTCTGTCCTGGAAAATATCAAGAGTATAAAGATTTCTAAAGTCCAGATTCACTGAACGCACGTTTCCACAGCCCCATGCTTGACCTTCACTATAGTTTGCAGCCATCACTTGAAAAGGTCTGTTCTTCCAGCTCAGAGACTTTAGACTTGGATCCTAAAAACTATCAACAGATTCTCTCAAAATGTCATGAGTGCTTTTCAGCAAGCGATGGACCTTCACTTAATAGAAATGATCACACATGGTGATTATTTTTTTAAAGCTTTCCATTTGATGGTAATTACCTACCTCAGCAGACTGAGCAAGAATGAGTTCACAATGTAAAGATTTTTCTCCTTGAGAGATGATACTCTTATGCTCTCCACTAGCATTCAACTGGATCCCATTCCTTGAAAAAAATAACAGTAGTCCCATCTGATTAGATGTGCCTCCAACATTATGTTTTAAGCTACCAGATTAAGGTTTATCACCAAACAATCAGTAAGCACTCAAGTATGCCCAGGGTTGTATAAGGAATTTAGGAATACAGAGAGAAATATGAGAGTCTCTGCCCCCTAGGAGCTGCACAGATTAGTGACTGACTCAAGGTGGTTGCAAACAAGTAGGCCACACTTTAAAAAATATATATATTGGAGCCAATAGTTAAAAATTAGAAAATTTCACTAAAATTCTAGATTTTTGGCTTTTCTTTAAAGATCAGAAGATGTGGCCACATTGGGTCCATGTATTCTTGATGCAGCAATAGCTGTGGAGCTAAGCAGAGTGGCCCCCTCTGTCTTCATTGGGGTAATGCAATTTTCTCACTTGACATTCTCATAATGTAAGTATATGCACTTACCTCATTGGTTTAACTCATTTTTTCCTTTCTGAGTGGCTCCTGTGGACTCCTGGACTAGCATACTACACATATAAGTACTCAGAAACAAATGGTTACAACATAAGACGATGTGTGTTAGAAGAGGTAAGAATAGTATGCCACGTATGCACTCAAAAGGACTACTTTAATCTCAAGGTAAGAGAAAAGCAAAGGAAAGTCATGAGAAACTTGTGAAGGAGTTCTCTTGGAGAAAATACCACTTACACGGGTACAGAAGAAAATAAGGGGACACATTCAAAGAACTGCATATATCTCAGTAGGCCAATACTATGTGGTGGAGGCCCATGAGAGAAGCTGGTGGGGGTTTGCTCTGTACTCACATGATGAGTTCCTGTTGCAAGTGCTGTAACTCATGAGCCAATTTGTTTTTATCACCTCGTAAATCCTGGAATCAAATACAACATTAGGCTGTACATGTTACTCTAATGGGAAATTTATATTTACATTTAACAACCCCACCTTCCAAAAGGTGAGATTATTATGGTATACCTCTATAATGCTCCCGTATTCTGTAATGGTTGACTTAAGTTCTTCTATACTTAAATCCTTCTGAAAAGTAGAAGAGAAAATGAATAGCTAATAAATGTATGAGTTCACCAAGTCATATTTATTAGGCTATCCATCTGAGCCACGGAAGAACTGTAAATGCCCAGTGGAAGAGAGAAAGTTGCTACAATATTCAGTATCTGGGTCAATGTCTATAAGCCATGAATAATTTCTTAGAAATGTCATAACAAAATGGGAAAAGAAAAGAAGAAAAACATTGGTCTTTCCTTACTTCCCTATCTTGAAATGGGGAAGTTTATAACTTAGGTTGTGTCTCTTAAAGCCACCATAATCAGCATCTCTGTAGCCATCACCCTTTGTTACCAGCTAGGCTATGATCCCTGGATACAAGGATAAATAAAATGATATCTATTTATTTTCCTATCTATCTATCTATCTATCTATCTATCTATCTATCTATCTATCATCTATCTACATATCTATCATCTATTTTTCTGTCTAATCAATCAATCTAGGGAGAAAATAATTTAGGGATATATTTGTCTTCTTCCTTAAAACAAATGACTGCACACTCATTGTATTGTTATGCATTAAAACTGCTTTACCAGTATCTAGCCAGTGACTGATATATTGGCACACAAATATGTATTGCAGAGATTAATAAACACCACCAGAATTTAGAGAGGATGTAAACACTTATCCCAGATGAAGAAATCAGTATTCTCCAGTCAGAGTAACATTTTTAGTGAAGTATTTTAGTGAAGTATTTTAAAGGAAAGTCTAATATTCTTGACAGAATATTGGAATCAGGTATTTTAATAGGGGTGAAGTTACACAAATGACCATCTCCTTTATGATTTAGAGAGAGCTAGCCAATCCCACAAGACTTCATGGGAAGGGACAGAACTAACCTTCTGCAAACTTTCATCTTTATTAAGCAAAATTTTCTCATATGTGTGTAACTGCACCTGAAAAGAAACAAGTTTAGGGAAGGCCATTGGGACATTGCTTTGGTAAAGGACAGTGCCACAAAATCATTCCAATAGGGAGACATGTTTCTGAAGAACCTTTAATGTGCATGTGTTTTTCACTTTTTAATGAATTTTCACATCAGCTTCACAACAATCCTAGAGGCAGGGTCATTCCTCTTGCTTTATCAGTGAGGAAATGGAAGCTCAATACTATTCAAAGACTTGTCCACAGTTAGTGACAGAACTGAGCCTAGCATATGAGTCTCTAGCTCCAGCCAAGTGCCTTTCCCACCATTTCACACTTCATATAATAAGAGGACATATAGAGTCTTAATTTTTGGTGAAAATGAAAATTTAGATAAGACATGAACACAGACTCCATGTGGACATATAGAAGACTCTCTTTTAAAAACTTAAATTTAAAAATGTTTAAGATTTCTTCTAGCAAGGTGAATATTAAGGATATACTAGTTTATTCAAACCCAAAGCAAGCTTGGTGGCATCAGCTTCTAAATATAATATACATATGTATATTGATAAATATGTATACTGATTGAATTGAAAAATCTAAAAAAAATCAGCATAGTTATAAGTAGAATCATCATCATAATCATATATATTTGATATATCTTTATAGTTTTAAAGTATTTTTACATAATCATCTCATTTGAGTTTTCAACAAGCTTGTATATTAGGTAGAAATATCATATCTATTCAGTAGATGAGAAAATTGAGACTTAAATAGGCTAACTTCTTGCTTAAGGTTATAAAACTTTTAAATAAAGAAGACAGGATTTGAACCCGTGTCTTCTAGCTCTTTCCACTAATTTATAACAGTTATGTTTTCCAAAGACAGTCATTCCTAGAATAAAACTAATTTTAATGTCTAAATTATAACTGTTATAACATAGATATATTTGTTTACACACATGGAATTTAAAATATCTGCTAGGAAACTTTAAAATTTCACATATAGACATGAAATTTAAGTACATCCTCATTTCAAACTTTTACTACGACAGAAAATATTGCTCAAATAAACCATTAGAGATGACAATAAGCATGACACAAATTCCTAAACTTATTAATAGTTGTTTTCTGTTTCCTGATAAGAACGTAGAGTAAACAGAACAAAAATATATACTAAACATAGACTTTTTAGATGCACTATAGATAAAAATCATTTTTGTAAGATATCTCTTAATTCAATCAAAGAAATATTTTTTCCATCTCTCCTCATTTTCCATGACAAGAAGGTACAAGAGCTGAAATCTTTCCTGACTTAAGGGTTTACAAAATCAGACACTATTAAATTAGAAATTGC